TGTAAGCTTGGCATCCACCATACAAGTGACTACGTAGACTATATCCAATGAGTACTTGCTGATCTTCTCTGACTCACTGTACTTGTCCATACCTCTCATCTATGACCACTGTTATCCTAATGTTCCATGCTCGTATTACTTATTCCTCTCGGTTATTAAGTCATTCATTTCTTTTGTACCTCATGCCATTAAAGCAAACGGAAGTTATGAACCATTTGAAATACGTATGTGATAAAATTGAATAAAATATTAGCAAACATGTTGTATAATAAACTAGCTAGTATAACAAATAAGCAGGTATATAATTAAAATGTAAGAGTTACTGAATTTGTTTGTCAGGCACTAGAATACTGAACCCCTTGATAGTATGTATAGAACGAGTGATGTTTGCTCTTGTTAATGAGTCGTTTCCTATAGTTGCATTACTTTTTTCTTAGAGCTAAATCATATACCCTAAATTATTGTCTTTTTACAGCGTCGGCGTCGGCGTATAGACCGCTCCATGATTGGAGAACCAACCAACTTTGTTCATACGGGACACATCGGCTCGAGTGATGTTCAGATGGGCAATAACCAGTTAGCCCAGTTACAGTCCCAGATGAAAAGTAAAGGAGGTTATGAAGAGGCACTACCACACAATCACATGATGACAGTTGTACCGGTGAAAAGAACATAAGTATGTCCCAGGTCATTTTTTTTTATAACTGACTTTATCAAATTAAATTTTGTACCATTGTGAAATTACCTAACTTGTAGAACCTGTATATACAGTAAGGATTAAATATGTACTGTCTTTATTAAGTAAAGTTAAATCTCTGGTACAGGCACTTAAAAAATGTTCCATATTAGAGTATATTTTACTTGAATGCACACACTTCTCGTATACCTATATAAATTTGGTGATTGAAATCTTGTTCAATTTCTTGAAGAGACATCGTGCACTAAATTTGGCGTTCTCCATGTATGCCCCTAAATCTCTTGCATCATATGTCATTAAAAATATTTATCATAATAAAATGATGCATATTTTTCTCTGGATGAGCATTAATTTTAAGTAATTTGTGAAACTGTAGACCTATGCATGTTGTCCAAGAACTAGTCGAAGGTTTATTTCTTCAGATTAATTTTAATGTCTTCTACCTGTTACTACATGTAAAGGGTTCCCATTCAAATAGTGAGTGGGGTAGAGTAACAAAGATTAACAAATATATGACAACATATATTGTGTTTTTTGAATGTATCTTGAGACAAATCACTATAGGTATTCATAGAATTTTACTCTGAAACTGAAGTTTTTGTAGTGTATTTCTGCTATATGTCATAATGTCTATTTGTTTTAATTTATTTCATTCTGTATACAGTAATCCATATCAGTTTGGTGCATTTTTAAAAATACAATAATGCAGTAATAGATTAAACATTTCTTGATATTTCTTTTAAAACAGTATGTCAATTTTCTTTAATTATATTATGTCATGTTTAATATATTTACTTTTTTTGGAAGGTTATTTTGTCGTGTTTGTAGTATTGAACATAAAACATAACTATGTTATTACTAGATTAAATGCAGGGCAGAAGATATAATAATATCCTAACAATTTAAAAAATATTATATGCTGTATTTTTCTTCATTTCAGAGAATGTATAATGTAGCAGAAAGCTGAAAAAATGTTCTTCGGTTCAACTAGGGCTCGGGGTCAACTACATTAAATCTTACAATACTGGAAGATTTAGATCTTGCCATATAGGTGTTTAACCTGTGCTGTCTCTAATGTCCATGGTGCTTCTGATATTCAGGTTATATGTCTTGGGTGCCAGCCCCATTTTGGCTCGTCTTGACTCGTGTAACTTGTGTACTGTACTTCATTAAGGTTTATTAGGACCCAGTTATTGTTAGCTACCACTACTACTACCACCAGCATTTACTGTAAATCGTGTGTGAAAGTTCAGATTTTAGTCCATATTTACGAATATTGATTTAAATATTCCGAGTATTGTGCTCCAATTTATACTAAAGATTTTTAAACGATACTTAAAGGAGTAATTAAAGCACAAAAACCCTGTATATGAAGTCTCCTGTAAAGGAGTTGTGTGCACATGAAATAATTAAAAAAAAAAAATTTGCATCTTACTTCGCTGTGACTTCTTCAGGTGAACTGCATATTCCTGAAGAATAGATTTTAGTGTTTGATTCTCATAAATCTCGCAAATGGTTTGTAGTTCCCATGGTAAATGTCAATAAATTACTGCATTCTTCAGTAACCTCAGCAGCCCTCTCGCATTTTTTTCATTGGAGGGTATGGTATATTTACTGAAGTGTAAGTTTTGGCATACCTTACCGTAAACCACATTCTTCCATGGGCAAATAAGTTTGGGTTTGGTAATGCTTTGGGAGCTTGTTTTTTTTTTTGGCTGGGAGTTAGTGTCATTTTAGTTTTTAAGGCTGGGTTAATGTCTCATATTTTGTACAAATATTGAATATATGTAATAATGTAAGTAATCACAGTAATCATCCTGTTTGTGTTGGAATAAGAGATTTTTGTAATTTAATTCTGACTTAGTATTAATTAGGTAAGTGAAGCTGTTAAGCTACCAATTGTAGGTGGAAGACTGATCTGTTAATTTAATGTTCTCAAATTTTTGCAGTGTTTGCTTCCTATGTTGGTCCTACTCTGTAACAAGTCTGTCCTGTAAGTGATCCAAATTTGCCTTGTATAGTTATTTCACAATACGTATCTGGAAACAGGTGAACATGTAGTACTTCATTAGCTGTTGATTAATTGGCGTCGGTTATCTGCTTCCTATATTTCCATAATACAAAAGTTCATTCACGATTGTTGAAAGAAATTAAGTCAGCTGCTTTTTGTCATAATATTAAAATTAATGAATCTGATAATTTGGGAAGCATGGAATGAATATTTAATTATCCCAGAATCACATTTCAAATTATATTTTTATGAATTTTATATGAATTATTATACAAAAACAAGATTCTTGTGAACTAGATACACAAATGAAGTTAGCTTTAAACAAACTAGATACATACACAAACTAGGTACTAGGTGCAAATCACTCAGGTAGACAGTGAAAATAGTTTCATCATTGAGGTGCCATTATTAACTTGTGTAGACAATCTCTTATTCATATTTGAGGGAAAATGTGTACAGAACAAAAATACATGCCAAGCATTCCAGACTGCCATCATTAATGAAAAATATATTTTGATAATCATGTTGCCACCTTTAATTTTACAAGAATCCAATACCTTGTCTTGCCAACGCAAACCTTATCCGAGAGAGAGACTTTGACGAGACTCTTGTCATGTTGTGACCTTATACAGTGTCCCAGCTAGTGAGAAGTTATGGCAGTGTTGTTATATTTCTCTTCATGTACTTGTAAGAATTTGTGCTATTTTTGCTGGCTTCAATAGAGAAGTTTTTAGTGTTTCTGGTTAGAGGTAACTGGTAGGGAAAAATAAGTGTATAAAATGCCATTGCATTTAAAACAAGTGACAACAGAAAATGGTGCAGAATATATATGTAACATTGTTTAGTACTGTTTCTTTTTACCTTATCTAGAGGATAGTTAACAGGTTCATGCTTTAAAAGGTTGTTTGCTTATAAAAAAAAATACTCCTAGCTGGGGGACTGTTTAGCCTTATCCCGTGCCTTCCGTAACCCAGTCAGCACTATAACCTTACTAGGGACCAGGGATCCCCATTGACATTCACATGTCCATCCATTTTTTAACCCTTCATATTTTTTTGCCTCTATTGTATGTCAAAAGACCAACCTTATTAATAACATGATTGAGGCACAGCTGATATAGCTCTCATAAATAAAAACAATAGCTATAATACGGTATCATGACATGTTTACTCCCTTAAAAGGTAATGATGTTTAGCTCAGTAAATAACTTGCGTTCAATTTTTGCATTTATATATTGGCTTTCAGTAAGGAAAAAGTTATTTATGATAGTGAAATAAGAATTTTTATAATTTAACAAAGTTGTACTCTTAGAGTTACTGTATGCATTTTTAATAATGACCAGTGTTTTAGGTAATGGACAAACCTTTCTGGTGTTAAATTAGAGAAATATATATATATATATATACATTTATTTAAACATTCGTGTTGTATGTTAAGCCATGTTGATGTTTTAAGTGTTCAGAAATCCTACGAGTAGTAAAATTTATTGCCAAGGTATTTTTTACAACTTGGTTGTAATGTAGCCAGTTATATATCCAGACTTATCTCAAATAATAATTTGTCAGGTATGGTTTTAGCATCAAGGAAATTGTTCTTTGAATGCATAGGAATAGTGCTCTGCCACTGTCTTCCTGTAAATAATTTATTTATTTTAAAGGAATTCATATATTCAGTGATTACAATTTTTTAAGCATGCTATTTCTCAATGTCATTGGTGATACGCATTTTCTGTTTGTTTTTCTCGATAAATGCTTTTGACATTGAGGTAATATAGTACTGATTTGTGTATACATTTTTGCCAGAGAAATTTAGAACAATTGAATTTCTCTTACTCTTAAGATACTCAGAAGTCATTTTTTTTTTAATTGATGTGCAAAGATTCAAAGAGATTGTTTTAATCAGCTTTAATCTGCATGCTAATTTTTTATGTTCCAGATTAATTCTTTATTTTCTGTTCTTTGCACATTGGTGACTTTGCATGATATTTTGACATTGACATCAATATGTACAAATTGCCAAGAAATACAGCTTACTGTCCCAGAGAAAATGTAATGGTAGAAGATTTAGAGTAAAGTTCTACATATTAAAGGTTAATAACTTAAAAATGTTTTTTTGTGTGTATATTGACAAGGAGGAATAATTCTGTAAGAGTGAGATGTGCTCACAAACTCGAAGGCACAGATGTACTTCAGCTCTGTTCAATCTCTGGTTCTTCCATTTGGTAATTGCATCACTGTTAAAGATAATTTCACCTTTCATATTGTGAGAAATGCAATAGTACCAAATAAAATGCTGAACTTAGTGTGGTATTATTTATTGCCCGAGGAGAAAGCCATACCCTGTTGAGCCCTTCTGTCAGTTGGAAGGGATTACATTCTTTTTTCATACATGAACCAATCTCTTATCTATCACATGGAAAATACATATTTAAACCCGAGCACAATTTGCAATTCAACCAGTGGCATGGCATAGTGGATTTAAGCTTGCTCAATAAGAAAAACCAGTAAATCTCCAGGGCTCATGTACTGCACAGCAGATGTTTTGCATTAGAAACAATAGATGTGAAAATATGTTGTCTTCATAAGCAGCTGCCCTTTAAGGGAAGTTCTCCTTGAGGGAGGTTTCCTGATGCTGATGGACTCTTGATCAAAGGAACTAAACTGGTGTCCCAATGTCTCGACTAGTCTGAATGCCTTCCACAACATCAAGTGCTGTATGACCACAGGCATAGTACTCCTCATGAATGTAAGAATAATTCAAGGGGGGGTCGTCATTGTGCTGGTCGAAGGCTTTTGATCTAAGGGCTGGTAGATACTTCATTTCTTCGGATCAAACATTATCTCCTGCCCATCCCATTCCTCAGTCACTCTGACACTTATAGATTTAACACCTTACCATGAAAGTATAAAACTGATTACTGTATATTGATCAAAGGCAAGGAAGTGGACCTGTCCTACAAATTGATCACACCTGATTGCCTCTCATCCCCCATGAGCTGTATGACCCTTATGGGTTTAGTGATTCCCTTTGTAATAATATATAATTTATAAAGTAATGGCTAATATTAATAATTAAGATTCGGTCTTATTGTATAAAATTGTATTACTGCATATGGTTAACGCTTAATAGTTAAGTTAGACAATATTTGCATAAATTTAAATTTCTTCACATAATTGTTTTCATGAAATTAATACTTAAAAGACCACTTTCTGTTTGCAGAAATGTATTCTATGACAATGTTTTAAATAAGATGGAAAACCAGCTCTGGTAAATCAGTAGATTCTTGACAGTGCTAGACTATATTGCAGCTGTATGCCAGTGGTTGCTTGCTTCATGGATGGGTCATCTAGCAAGACCTGTATTAAGAGACTTTCCTAATGACCAAAACACCACTACTACTGAATATTCATAGATGAAAAATCAGATGTAAAGTATTATAGAGAGAACTGTGTCTACAAATGTAAACCAAAAACTCATCCAAGCAAACTAGTACTTTTGCTCATTACATTCTACCTTGCCACGGTGGGAAACAGTCGATGTGTTAAAAAAAATACTACTACCAGTAGTTCATTACAATAACTAGCATAATTATCAGATACCTTCTTTGTCTGTTTAGTAATTTATACAGAAGGGGTTACTAGTCTCTTACTCTCAGCATTTTAGTCACCTTTTACAACATGCATTGGTTTAGCACTTCCCCTTGATAATAATAATAATACAACATGCATTGCTTATGGAAAAATTCTCTCCCACTTGACCCTGGAGATGAAATGCTAAAAATAACAAACTATTAAGGGATTAGAAGAAAGCTCGGATGAATTTATAGAATTGCAATTTTAAACATCCAGGACCAAGTACAGTATGCATGGCTGGCTAGCTTCTAGTGTTCTAGCACAGACTGAAACTGCTTGTAGTAATAACTTGGGCTAGTACTCAACATCTGTCAGCTTGTTGCTCTTGCTCTTCAACACCTTTATCTTGTACCTGTACCAGCAACATGCAGCAGTCATCACCACTGCCACAACGACTGATATCACCAGGGTGATCAGGAACAGGGACGCGAGGGTTTGTTCTGCAACATAAGGAGAAAAATAAGTCACAAAGTTTCAAGCTGCCATAAGCTATGCAGTGTCTGAGGGCAGTGAACATGATCATTGATCATGTCTGCATAGGTGGTGGATGGGATAATGTCACACAGCTTACATCTAATCATGCCCATGTGTGTGATGTGACATCTTAACTGATAACTGGAGGGCAAGGAAGAGACTTATTACACATGTGATATGACATCATAAAGTTCATAATTCATCTACAGATCTTGTCACTGATACCAAGATCTATCAGGGAAACATTTGGAATATTGTAATTCTATTTGAAGTACCTGTACAATTAAGGAAGGTGCCTTGAAGCCGGTAAAGAGATCTTGATTCAGGGAACTGGACCGAATATTCACTTCCTTGGATCATACGTGACTGCCACCTGTTCCTCAGGCTTTGTATGACCCTTATAGTTTGCTGCTTTTCCATAACTAATTATTATTATAATCAAAAAGAAGCGCTAAGCCACAAGGGCTATACAGCGCTGCATTTTCATAACTAAAATAATAATAATGTACAGTGTGTGTGTACTCGCCAAATGTGGTTACAGGGGTAGAGTCACAGCTCCCAGCCCCCTCTTCATTGGTCACTACTAGGTCCACTCTCTCCCTGCTCCATGAGCTTTATCATATCTCTTCTTAAAACTTTGTGTGGATCCTACCTCAACTACATCATTCTCCAAACTGTCCCGCTTCTTGACAACTCTATGACTGAATAAGTACTTCCTAATATCCCTGTGACCCATCTGAGTTTTCAGTTTCCAGCTGTGACAACTTGTTGCTATGTCCCATCTCTGAAACATTCTATCCCTATCCACCATGTCAATTCCTCTCAGTATTTATAATTTATAAGTCGTTATCAAGTCCTCCCTATCCCTCCTGTCTTCTAGTATTGTCGGACTGACTTCCCCCTCTCCTCGTAGGACATACCCCTCAGCTCCAGGACTAGTTTTGTTGCAAACCTTTGCACTTTCTTTAATTTGTTGACATGTTTGACCAGGTGGGTTCCATACTGGTGCTGCATACTTCAGTATGGGCCCGACTTACACAGTGTAGAGTGTCATGAATGACTCCTTAGTTAGGTGTTGAAATGCTATTATCAGGTTTGCCAGGCACCCATATGCTGCAGCAGTTATTTGGTTGATGAGCGCTTCAGATGTACTTGATATGATGCTCACCCAAAGACCCTTTTTCTTGAGCGAGTTTTGTAGCCTTTGACCTTTTAGGCTGTATTCCGTCTGCAGTCTTCTATGTCCTTCCCCAAGCTTCATAACTGTATGTGTGTGTGTGTGTACTCACCTAGTTGAGGTTGCAGGGGTCGAGTCCAAGCTTCTGGCCCCACCTCTTCACTGGTCGCTACTAGGTCACTCTCCCTGAACCATGAGCTTTATCGTACCTCTGCTTAAAGCTATGTATGGATCCTGCCTCCACTACATCGCTTCCCAAACTATTCCACTTCCTGAATACTCTGTGGCTGAAGAAATACTTCCTAACATCCCTTTGATTCATCTGTGTCTTCAGCTTCCAACTGTGTCCCCGTGTTGCTGTGTCCAGTCTCTGGAACATCCTGTCTTTGCCCACCTTGTCAATTCCTCTCAGTATTTTGTAAGTCGTTATCATGTCCCCCTATCTCTCCTGTCCTCCAGTGTCGTCAGGTTGATTTCCCTTAACCTCTCCTCATAGAACATACCTCTTAACTCTGGGACTAGTCTTGTTGCAAACCTTTGCACTTTCTCTAGTTTCTTTACATGCTTGGCTAGGTGTGGGTTCCAAACTGGTGCCCCATACTCCAATATGGGCCTAACGTACAGAGTGTACAGGGTCCTGAACGGCTGCTGGTGATGAGATCATTACTTTCTAGATGTTCCACCATTCTTCTCCTGACAATCTTTTCCATGATTTTGCATGCTATACATGTCAGTGACACTGGTCTGTAGTTTAGTGCTTCATGTCTGTCTCCTTTTTTAAAGATTGGGACCACATTTGCTGTCTTCCATGCCCCAGGCAATCTCCCTGTTTCGATAGATGTATTGAATATTGTTGTTAGGGGTACACATAGCGCCTCTGCTCCCTCTCTCAGGACCCATGGAGAGATGTTATCTGGCCCCATTGCCTTTGAGGTATCTAGCTCACTCAGAAGCCTCTTCACTTCTTCCTCGGTGGTGTGTACTGTGTCCAGCACATGGTGGTGTACCCCACCTCTCCGTCTTTCTGGAGCCCCTTCTGTCTCCTCTGTGAACACTTCTTTGAATCTCTTGTTGAGTTCCTCACATACTTCACTGTCATTTCTTGTTGTCTCTCCTCCTTCCTTCCTTAGCCTGATTACCTGGTCCTTGACGGTTGTTTTCTTCCTGATGTGGCTGTATAACAGCTTTGGGTCAGATTTGTCTTTTGCTGCTATGTCGTTTTCATATTGACGTTGGGCCTCCCTTCTTATCTGTGCATATTCGTTTCTGGCTCTACGACTGCTCTCCTTATTCTCCTGGGTCCTTTGCCTTCTATATTTCTTCCATTCCCTAGCACACTTGGTTTTTGCCTCCTTGCATCTTTGGGTGAATCATGGGCTCATCCTGGCTTTTTCATTATTCCTGTTACCCTTGGGTACAAACCTCTCCTCAGCCTCCTTGCACATTGTTGCTACATATTCCATCATCTCATTAACTGGCTTCCCTGCCAGTTCTCTGTCCCACTGAACCTCATTCAGGAAGTTCCTCATTCCTGTGTAGTCCCCTTTCCTGTAGTTTGGTTTCATTTGTCCTGGCCTTCCTGCTTCCCCCTCCACTTGTAGCTCTACTGTGTATTCAAAGCTCAAAACCACATGATCGCTGGCCCCAAGGGGTCTTTCATATGTGATGTCCTCAATATCTGCACTACTCAAGGTGAATACTAAGTCCAGTCTTGCTGGTTCATCCTCTCCTCTCTCTCTTGTAGTGTCCCTTACGTGTTAGTACATGAAGTTTTCCAGTACCACCTCCATCATCTTAGCCCTCCATGTATCTTGGCCCCCATGTGGCTCCAAGTTCTCCCATTCGATCTCCTTGTGGTTAAAGTCGCCCATGATCAGGAGCTTTGCCCTGCATGCATGAGCTCTTCTGGCCACTGCAGCCAGTGTGTCAACCATCGTTCTATTGCTCTCATCATACTCTTGCCTTGGCCTCCTGCTGTTCTGTGGTGGGTTATACATCACTGCAATTATCACCTTGGGACCACCAGAGTGAAGCGTTCCCGCAATGCAATCACTTTCTTTTCCGCTGTCTCCTCTCTCCAGCTCATCAAAATTCCATACGTGTTTAATCAGCAGTGCCACTCCTCCACCCCCCCCCCCTGTTCCTTCTGTCTTTCCTCAGGATCCGGTATCTCGCTGGAAAGCTGGCATCTGTTATCATACCTGTAAGCTTGGTTTCTGTGATCGCTGTGATGTCTGGTGATGCCTCTCTGACTCTTTCGTGCCACTCCTCCCACTTGTTTGTTATTCCATCAGCGTTTGTGTACCATACCTTCAGTTTCCTTTCCAACACTGTGGTTTGGGGGGCCTGTGGGGGTGGGAGGCCTGGTAGCATACTGTGGGATTCTATGGTTGGGGGTTGGATGGAAGCTGTGGGTATGGATTGTATTGTGTGTTGGGATGGTGTGATAGGTTGTGGGGTTCTGAGGATAGTTGTGTGTGTACTTGCCCTTGCTGCTCTGTTCTGCTCTGACTGACCTCTGCTGGTTCCATCCTTGTCTCCTTTCCTAGCTCCTTTCGCTTTTTTGTCCTCTCCCTCAGCTGCTGTGTGTGTGTGTGTGTGTGTGTGTGTGTGTGTACTCACCTAATTCACCTAATTGTGGTTGCAGGTGTGTGTGTGTGTGTGTGTGTGTGTGTGTGTGTGTGTGTGTGTGTGTGTGTGTGTGTGTGTGTGTGTGTGTGTGTGTGTGTGTGTGTGTATGTGTGTGTGTGTGTGTTACTCACCTATTTGTGGTTGCAGGGGTCGAGTCACAGCTCCTGGCCCCGCCTCTTCGCTGATTGCTACTAGGTCCACTCTCTCCCTGCCCCATGAGCTCTATCATACTCGCCTTAAAACTATGTATGGTTCCTGCCTCCACTACATCACTTTCTAGGCTATTCCATGGCCTGACTACTCTATGACTGAAGAAATACTTCCTAACATCCTTTGATTCATCTGAGTCTTCAACTTCCAATTGTAACCTCTTGTGTCTGTGTCCCATCTCTGGAACATCCCGTCTTTGTCCACCTCGTCTATTCCGCGCAGTATTTTATATGTCGTTATCATGTCTCCCCTGACCCTCCTGTCCTCCAGTGTCGTCAGGGACCGATTTCCCTCAACCTTTCTTCATAGGACAATCCCCGTAGCTCTGGGACTAGTCTTGTTGCAAACCTTTGCACTTTCTCTAATTTCTTGACGTGCTTGACTAGGTGTGGATTCCAAACTGGAGCTGCATACTCCAGTATGGGCCTGACGTAGATGGTATACAGAGTCTTAAACGAATCCTTACTGAGGTATCGGAACGCTATCCATAGGTTTGCCAGGCGCCCGTATGCTGCAGCAGTTATCTGATTGATGTGCGCCTCAGGAGATATGCTCGGTGTTATACTCACCCCCAGATCTTTTTCCTTGAGTGAGATTTGCAGTCTTTGGCCATCTAAACTATATTGTGTCTGCGGTCTTCTTTGCCCTTCCCCAATCCTCATGACTTTGCATTTGGCAGGGTTAAATTCAAGGAGCCAGTTGCTGGACCAGGATTGTAGCCTGTCCAGGTCTCTTTGTAGTCCTGCCTGATCCTCGTCCGATTTGATTCTTCTCATTAACTTCACATCATCTGCAAACAAGGACACTTTTGAGTCTATCCCTTCCGTTATGTCGTTCACATATACCAAGAACAGCACAGGTCCTAGGACTGACCCCTGTGGAACCCCACTTGTCACAGGCGCCCACTCTGACACCTCGTCGCGTACCATGACTCGTTGTTGCCTCCCTGTCAGATATTCTCTGATCCATTGCAGTGCCTTTCCTGTTATGTGTGCCTGGTCCTCTAGCTTTTGATGTAACCTCTTGTGAGGGACTGTGTCGAAGGCCTTCTTGCAGTCCAAAAATATGCAGTCGATCCACCCCTCTCTCTCTTGTCTTACTTCTGTCACCTTGTCATAAAACTCTAGTAGGTTTGTGACACAGGATTTTCCTTCCCTGAAACCGTGCTGGTTGTCAATTATACACTTGTTTCTTTCCAGGTGCCCCACCACTCTCCTCCTGATGATCTTCTCCATGACCTTGCATACTATACACGTTAGTGATACAGGTCTGTAGTTTAGTGCCTCATGTCTGTCTCCCTTTTTAAAAATTGGGACTACATTTGCCATTTTCCATACCTCAGGGAGTTGCCCAGTTTCAAATGATGTGTTGAAGATCTTTGTTAATGGCTCACACAATATCTCTGCTCCCTCTTTAAGGACCCATGGAGAGATGTTGTCTGGTCCCACCGCCTTTGAGGTGTCAAGTTCGCATAGCAGCTTCTTCACCTCCTCCTTGGTTATATGTACCTCATCCAGCACTTGCTGGTGTGCCCCCCTGTTCTGATTTCTTGGAGTCCTACTGGTTTCCACTGTAAATACCTCTTTAAATCTTGTGTTGAGCTCCTGACAAACCTCTCGGTCGTTTCTTGTGAATTCCCCATCACCCTTCCTCAGTCTGATTACCTGGTCCTTGACTGTTGTTTTCCTCCTGATGTGGCTGTACAACAGCTTCGGGTCAGTCTTTACTTTTGATGCTATGTTATTTTCATATTGTCTCTGAGCCTCCCTTCTTATCTGTGCATATTCGTTTCTGGCTCTTCGGCTGATTTCTTTATTTTCCTGAGTTCTCTGTCTTCTGTACCTTTTCCATTCTCTAGTACACCTAGTTTTTGCCTCCCTACACCTTTGGGTGAACCAAGGACTCGTTATGTTCTTCCCATTATTTCTGTTTCCCTTGGGAACAAACCTCTCCTCTGCCTCCTTGCATTTTGTGTGTGTACTCACCTAGTTGTACTCACCTAGTTGAGGTTGCGGGGGTCGAGTCCGAGCTCCTGGCCCCGCCTCTTCACTGATCGCTACTAGGTCACTCTCCCTGAGCCGTGAGCTTTATCATACCTCTGCTTAAAGCTATGTATGGATCCTGCCTCCACTACATCGCTTCCCAAACTATTCCACTTACTGACTACTCTGTGTGTGTGTGTGTGTGTGTGTGTGTGTGTGTGTGTGTGTGTGTGTGTGTGTGTGTGTGTGTGTGTGTGTGTGTGTGTGTGTGTGTGTGTGTGTGTGAATATGTCTTGCATGGACCCCAGATTTTTCTGGTATGGACCACTGAATGTGCAGAATAAAAACTAAACACATCTGAAGAGAACATCACATATTTCCTAAAACAATAATAATAATAATAGAATATTTTTATTTCTACAAGTACATGTACAAGGTATACAGACCATAGCTGACATTAATGACATACTACTATATAGAAAGCCGCTCATTATGCAGAGCATTTCGGGCAAATTAGGTCAGTTTTGTTCCAGGATGCGACCCACACCAGTCCACTAACACCCAGGTACCCATTTTACTGATGGGTGACAATAGATAACCGGTGTAAGGAAACACGCCCAGTGTTTCTACCCTCGCCAGGAATCGAACCCGGACACTCATGAATTACCATGAATATTTGTAACTGAAAATATAATTATTCCCCCCTCCCACAGGAAAGACTATTTCAAGTGCCTTGCACTTCTGCACCCTCCCCCTCCCCACTGCCCCTCACCCATTAACAACCTTCGCACACTCCTAAGCTTAGCACTTTCTTCCCTTTAGCGCTGTATAACCCTTACGAGTTTAGGGCTTAAACTTATTATAGTATAATTATTATTATTATTTGCTGGACTACAAAGTCAATTTGACCTACCTGATGATTCAAATGAAGCGGTGGAGACGTCTGGAGGCGTACAGTCACTTAACTCAGCTCGTCCCTGCAAAATACAGCATTATGCAAGCAATACAGTAGCTGATGCTACATAAGATAATGCAACGCTTTTCAATAATTACTTTGTATAGGCGCTACACTCGTGACTCAGTTGATGGACTACCCAACTAAATTACGACTCAGGGTAGGTTCCTTGATGGTTGTGAGGTCCTCTTAATGTAGAACTGAAGTTGTTCTACCCATACTTAGATCAAACTAGATTATTTCCCACTTCCCAGACACTGTATGACCTCTACAGATTTAGCGCTTCCCTATAAATGCAACAGTTAGTAGTAGCAGCAGCAGCAACAACAGTAATTATAATGATAATAATTTTGGTTAGTGAGTGCCTGTTCTTTCAAGAGTTGTAGCGCTGTATGACCCTGGTAGGTTTAGCGTTTCCCTTTGATTATAATACTAATAATGTTCTTACACAGAAATAACTGCAGAGAAACATATATTTATGTTCAAGAGTGACAGTATGATCAGCTCTGAGAAGATGTATGCTTTCAACTAAGACATAAAAGCATGAACAGATTCCTGACTCTTTAACAGACACTCCCAACCTGTTACATAGTCTGGGAGCTACAAAAGAAAAAGTCTCTTTTGTGAAAGATTTCCTCCCGTAGCAGGAGGCTTAATCAGTTCGTAGAGGTCAGCAGCATCCTTGTAGAACCATTCTCAACCTGAGCTCATGTAAGAGGCACAAAGCCTATCAGAACATTTTTTGTCTTTATTAAACTTAATAGGTTTAAATGCTAATAAAAGGAGCTTACATTCAAGTCTTGAGAGGGAACCAATGCTGCTCATGCAAGTATGGACTAGTGGGAACTCCAATTGGGACAGAAAATACCAGTCTAGCTACACGATTTAACACAAACCAAGGTCCTTTTTTTTTTTAGCAAATACATAGTTCATTGCCACTGTGACTTGTTTAGTTATCATAACTTTGCTGCCCAGTCCCTGCACCCATTACGTGCCTCTCCCATCTTCAGACTACCACCCACAGGAAGGGTATGGGATATATAATAAACCTATTTAACTAATTTAGGCAGGCAGACAAATAAACAATTGCAAAAATTAATTCCAGAGGAAACAAGATCGTGGAAAGGGACCAAAATATGCATAAGTGAGCCACATGGATCCCTGTCTGACCTTGATCATGAGTTCGACTACTTGAAACCTGTAGACGTTGAGTAACACACGGACGTCGGACTTGTTATAGGTGATGGTCTTGTTGCCGTCCATCTTGGTCTTGAGGGAGTGCTGCAAAGTGAGTCAGGGACATATATTATTCTACCACACCATCAGCAAGCAAAGTCTAAATAAATAAATAATATATATATGAGCAAATTATTCGACTGGGCCACCTGACCCTATGGATGTGGTAAGGGCACACTACCAGTGTAGACTAATGTATAATGGAGATAATGGAGGGCTCTTGATTGCAGCTAACCTCTTCTCCCTTCTTGAATCAAACCTGATTACTTCCCGTTTCTTTGGCGCTGTGACCCCTACATGTTTAGTGATTTAGAACGAATATATGGAAGGTGAGGTATGTCGCAACCTACCTCGTCGTTGTCACTGTCGTTACTGAAGATGAGAGTATGCCAGGTATCGGTACACAAGAGGTCTGACGTGATGGTACAGTTCCCAGCTGTCCTCCGTATCTTCTTGGCTGTTGAAATAACCGTCAGCCGAAGCACTGCCGTCACTCCTTCCTCCTTGTTTTGTCCTCCAAGACACCTCAAACACACTTCTCCTGGCATCTTACTGAAGGATTTCACCATTTCCAGTCTGGTCTTGTTGACTTCTTCACCTATGGGAAAGACTCTAGATATAAGTTTAACCTTGAAGCTGGCAAAAGGCTCTTAATTAGAACCCTCTAATCATGGGTAATTACCTCCCGTTTCCCCGGCACCTTATGATCCGTATGGGTTTTGTGCTTCTCCCATGAATATCAGTTTAATTACATGGTGACTGCTGCTATCTTCACTTACTCTTGGAGAGGGACTGGGTGACCAACAGCATCAACAGGAAGGAGAGGAAGTGTGTGGTTATTTCCGGGGTATTTGTCCATCTTTCCGTCATAGTTTCCTCGTTTGCTGCAGTTCTGAGTGACTGCTTCACCAACAGTAGTTACAAGTGATACAACGCCGTCTCAAAACGGGAAACCTGCAACAAAAACAAACATATGTAACAAAAACAAACAAATGTAATATATACAGACTTTGCAAAAGCCTTCTACAAGTGTGACCATGGCGCAATAGCGCACAAAATGCGTGCTAAAGGAATAACAGGAAAAGTTGGTAGATGGATCTATAATTTCCTCACAAACAGAACACAAAGAGTAGTAGTCAACAGAGGTGTTACAGACCGGGCCGCGGGGGCGTTGACCCCCGGAAGTCTCTCCAGGTAATACCTGGAGTTTACCTGGAGAGGGTTTCTGGGGTCAATACCCCCGCGGCCCGGTCTGCGACCAGGCCTTATGGTGGATCAGGGCCTGATCAACCAGGCTGTTACTACTGGCCGCACGCAATCCAACGTACGAACCACAGCCCAGCTGGTCAGGTACCGACCAGTGCCTTCTTGAAGACAGCCAGGGGTCTATCGGTAATCACCCTTATGTATGCTGGGAGGCAGCTGAACAATCTTGGGCCCCTGACATTTATTGTGCTGTCTATTAACGTGCTAGTGGCACCCCTGCTTTTCATTGGGGGGATTTTGCATCGTCTGCCGAGTCTTTTGCTTTCGTTGTGAGTGATTTTCGTGTGCAAGTTTGGTACTAATCCCTCTAGGATTTTCCAGGTGTATATAATTATGTATCTCTCCCGCCTGCGTTCCAGGGAGTACAGGTTCAGGAACTTCAAGCGTTCCCAGTAATTGAGGTGTTTTATCTCAGTTATGCATGCTGTGCATTTTCTAGGTCAGCAATTTCACCTGCCTTGAAAGGTGCTGTTGGTGTGCAGCAATATTCCAGCCTAGATATAACAAGCGACCTGAAGAGTGTCATCATGGGCTTGGCATCCCTAGTTTTGAAGGTTCTCATTACCCATCCTGTCATTTTTCTAGCAGATGCGATTGATACAATGTTATGGTCCTTGAAGGTGTGATCTTCCGACATGATCACTCCCAGCTCTGTTGTGTGGTTGGAATTTGTTTTATACTCCGATGAAATTTTAATTTCCTCACGTTTACCATATCGGAGTAACTGAAATTTCTCATCGTCGAACTTCATATTGTTTTCTGCAGTTCATTTAAAGATTTGGTTGATGTCCGCCTGGAGCCTTGCAGTGCCTTCAGTGGAGGACACTGTCATGCAGATTCGGGTGTCATCTGCAAAGGAAGACACAGCACTGTGGCTTATATCTCTGTGTCCGATATGAGACTGAGGAACAAGATGGGAGCGAGTACTATGCTTTGCGGAACAGAACTTTTCACCGTAGACGCCTCAGACTCTGTTGACTTCTACTCTTTGTGTTCTGTTTGTGAGGAAATTATAGATCCATCTACCAACTTTTCCTATTATTCCTTTAGCACACATTTTGTGCGCTATTACACCATGGTCACACTTGTAGAAGGCTTTTGCAAAATCTGTGTACATTACATCTGCATTCTGTTTGTCTTCTAGTGCATCTAGGACCTTGTCGTAGTGATCCAGTAGTTGGGACAGACAGGAGCGACCTGCTCTAAACCCATGTTGCCCTGGGTTGTGAAACTGATGGGTGGTGATCTTGCTTCTTAGGACCCTTTCAAAGATTTTTATATGGGAGGTTAGCGCTATCGGTCTGTAGTTCTTTGCTATTGTTTTACTGCCGCCTTTGTGGAGTGGGGCTATGTCTGTTTTTTTTAAATAACTGTGGGACGATCCCAGTGTCCATGCTTCCTCTCCATAGGATGTTAAAAGCACGTGATAGGGGATTCTTGCAGTTCTTGATGAACATGGAGTTCCATGAGTCTGGCCCTGGGGCAGAGTGCATGAGCATGTTATTTATCTCCTGTTCGAAGTCATTTGGCGTCAGGATAATGTCAGATAGGCTTGTGCTTACCAAATTCTGTGGCTCTCTCATAAAAAATTCATTCAGATCTTCGACTCAGTCTGGTTAGCGGCTCGCTAAAAACCCAGTCATATTGGGACTTGAGTAGCTCACTCATTTCCTTGCTGCCATCTGTGTAGGACCCATCTTGTTTAAGTAGGGGCCCAATACTGGATGTTGTTCACGACTTTGATTTGGCATAAAAAAAGAAATACTTTGGGTTTCTTTCGATTTCATTTACGGCTTTTAGTTCTTCCCGCGATTCTTGACTCCTGTAAGATTCCTTTAGCTTTAGTTCGATGTTTGCTATTTCTCTGACCAGTGTCTCCCTACGTATTGCAGATATATTGACCTCTTTTAGCCGCTCTGTTATTCTTTGCCTTCGCCTGTAAAGGGAGCGCCTTTCTCTTTCTAGTTTGCATCTCTTTTTTCTTAAAGGAATATGCCTTGAGCATACATCGAGTACCACAGAATTAATCTGTTCTAGACATAAGTTGGGGTCTATGGTGCTTAGACTATCTTCCCAGCTTATATCACTTAGGACTTGGTTTATTGGTCCCACTTTATGTTCTTGTTATTGAAGTTGAATCACATTTTGTCGGTCCAGGTATAGTGCTATTAATGTAGCGCTGTTATTATAGATGGAAAATGCCTACAATTTGCATAATTTGTAGGTGTCTGAGCCAATGGAGTTAATTTTGGGCCTGACTGGATTATCTGGTATATGCGTTTGATTAATTCATATATATATGAGTTATTATTTTTTAAGTAGCTCATTTTTGCCTTTCGACAGTCATTATATTCTATTAACTGAGACTAGGGAATTCTTTCTGGGTTTGCATATTTATATTACTCAGTGGATCACCCATCTTACCCAAGTAGTTAGTTTTATCCGTAATTACTTCTGCATTTGATCTTTCCCTATATAATTCGATTGCTGGCACACTCAGCTCGCACAATGAAATCCAGGGTTCGATCTCTGGTACGGGTGTGAACATTAGGACGTGTTTCCTTAAGACACCTGCTGTCCCCGTTCATCTTTCAATAAAATGGGTTCCTGGGTGTTAGTGGACTGGTGTGGGTCGCATCCTGTGACAAAACTGACCTAATTTATTATTATTATTATTATTATTATTATTATTATTATTCAGTGATTCGGGTGAAGGATTCTTGGCCCCTGAGCTTCAACTTACACTGCTCGTCTTCGGATCATACATAACTGGTTTCTATTTCCGAGGCGCTGTATAACCTTACGGGTTTAGCGATTCACCAAGACAATAATAAAAAAATATATTTTTAGAACTTCACTGTAAACAAACCACGGAACGGGTGGGGTTTGAACCCAGGATAAGCGAGTCATAAAACTCCAGGGCAGTGCGTAAACCACTCCTCTTATTAGGATTTCATGACTGATCTGCATTGTGTTTAGAACTCTGGAACCCCTATTTAGTAAAAAAAAAAAACTGGCTGTTTTAGTTAGGAAAATGACAAAATTTCATATATGAATTATTGTTAATACATTTCACATGTATTCAGAGTATATTTGTCAATGGAAGTTTTAACTTACGTGGTGTAATAATATCTGTAAGATGAAAGGCTCCTGAATATCTTGTTCACTGTTTCACATCTTTATAACATTTTCGTATCACCTGCCTTTCTATCCTTAATTTGGCTGGATATGATATATGGAGGATAACACCAGGGCTGGTGTGGATGTCTCGGCTGCTCAACACAGAATAATGATGAAGCTAGCGGGAGAAAAATGTGAGTTATCTACACTCTTCATATCCTCACACGAGACTGAGGCGGACACTATCAGCTCCAAGTAATGTTATTAACGCAATTCCTTTGTTCTTCAGGGAAATGATAACGTCTAAAGGATTACAAAGGTTCCATAAGAGTAATAAGCAGGGCACTTGATGCAGGGAGAGCTGATACAGTTTGATTTGTATGAAAAGGAAGTTGGGAACTATTAGTCTCTTGTGATAAGAGTTTCATTATTTGGGTCATAATCTTTGACAGCAAGCCGTATAGGTTTACCTAGGATTAGAGGGAGATTTATTAACGTTATTAAGTTCCCTCAAGGGAGATTCCTTGATGCCGGTGAGGGGCTCTTGATGCAAAGAATTAAACCTGTTCCTCCCGTAATGCTATGCATACAAGTGGCTTTGGCATGCTGCTCTTACCTGTATTTTTTTTGTACCTCTGTATGTATGCTCAAATTATTAAATAAATCAATAAATGAATAAATAAACCTGGCTGCCTCTTGCTCTACAAGGTCTCTGTACAACACCCTAAATATAATTATAATAAGCGACGTTACAGTTTCACTTAAAATCATTGACAATTATAACGAATTTGAGTGATCCAACCAATTGGACAACCTTCTTTCCCTGGACCAAATCTGACTCCTACTAGTTTAGCGATTTTTAGTGAATGACATAATAATAATAATCTTCATATATAAACTGGCATGTGTTTGGACAGGCATAGGTGCATTAATCAATAGTTATGGACCACAAATGTTATGGGTAAAAAAATAAAATAAAATAAGCGTTTATTTTTTTTTGTCGCGCAGTACATTAGTGAACTATGATGTTGAATGTTTGAAAGAAATAAGAGTGACAGTGCATTAAATAGTATAGTACACAGACAATACACGTCGATATATATTTCCTAAATCAAGGCGGCCGTCCCCTAGCAAGGTAGGGTGACCCATTAGTTTAATATGTTTATTATGCACCCCATACCCATCCTGTGGGTGGTAGTCAAAAGATTACAGAGGTACATAATGGGTCCAGGGACTGGGCCGCAAAGTTTTGATAGCTGAGCAAGTTACTGAGGTAATGAACTCCAGGTAGATCTGGTCACAATCATGACAAGTCATAAAGGTATTTACAGATTACAGAGGCACATAATGGGTCCAGGGACTGGGCCCCAAAGTTTTGATAGCTGAACAAGGTACAAAGGTAATGAACTCACAAGCTACAAAGGTAATGAATCATGTAAGTAAGTAAATTTACTTAAGTTTATACAGGGTGAACCATAGATGAAGATCCAGTCTTTTATTCTCTTTCATAATTTATTATACAAAACAGGTAATATAAACCCTCTTATGTATATATTATTAAACTGACGTACATTATTATAATAAAAAAGAAGCGCTAAACCACAAGGGCTATACAGCGCTGCAAACGGACGTACAATAAAAGATTAAATAAATGAAATTACATGAAATTCATTACAGAAAATTATATATCAGTTCTTTAATATGCAAAACAGATCTTATACGATTTTTTCTTCTGTGTAGTCACACGGGTACACTACAGGTATTGTTCCGTTTAACACACTTTTCATAACAGTAATTAAATCTTTTTTTTACACCTATCTGAAGTCATTTGAAACATTAGCCTCCATATCTTAGGCACACTTCCACCTCATTTCCAAAAGGATGCGGCAACACTCGACTAACACCCAAGTTAATGCATCTCAACTCTCCCAGGATTGACACCAGGTCCTTCGGTTGTTGGCTGAAGGCGCTACCGACGAGCTATGAGCCATTGTTACAAAAATAACACGCACATAGAAGGGAGGAGCTTACGACGACGTTTCGGTCCGACTTGGACCATTTACAAAGTACATATGGTCCAAGTCGGACCGAAACGTCGTCGTAAGCTCCTCTCTTCTATGTGCGGGTTATTTGTGTATCGTTCCAGTCACGGTATTGTGCCTTTTTTTTGTTATTCATTAACTTGTTACATCTATTTACCTGATCTTCCGTTTAGGATCGTCTATTATTTGCACACTTCAACATGATGGATCATAACAAAATAGCAGTGTTGCAGTTGGGTAAAAGTTTTGATAAAATACTGACAGTTGAGAAATAAAACACATGTGCAGTGCTAGGATATTGAGGTAACTTTCGCCACGAATGGCGTCTTCAACACTAAATTATTATTAGAATAAAAAAAGAAGCGCTAAACCAGAAGGGCCATACAACGCTGCTTCAACACTAAAGAAACGTGTCCTCGTTAAAATATCCTAACACTGAATTATGTCTGCATGTGACTTATTTCAATCTTGTGGCTATGAAAATCTCTGCCCTGTCAAAACTCTCATTATTACCCTCGAAAACGCTAGTAGAGACGGTGGGTGACTTTAGGTAAGAGACGTCAATGTTTTATATATCGAAAAGTGCCAATTTGTGTGTTCTCATCAAGATGACATTGAGTGTTGTCAGTCGAAGCTGATGTGAGGGGAATTAGTTCAGCATCAGAATAGGAGAAGTGGGGAACCGAGTAAGTCCCCTCGATGATCGGATAACTGATCTCGGGCCGTTCGCGTCTGGTTCCTCTTGGAGTACTCTTGTTGCTGTTGCTGCCATTGCTATGTTGACTACGAACTGTGAGGAAGTTTCCAGCGCGATCTGTCAAGTTGTGTAGGCTATCTCGTTCATCTGTGTTGTTGTTGCTGTGTTTGCTCTCATCCCCGGCGTTACAGCTGCATTTGCGGTCATCCATGTTTCTGTTGTATTTGCGTTCAGCCGTGTTGTTGCCGCTGTATTTACGTTCAGCCGTGTTGTTGCTACTGTATTTACGTTCAGCCGTGTTGTTGTTGCTGGCATTAAAAGGAGTGTAGATACGGCTGCTCCAGCTGTTAAATCCACTTGAACCCTGCCTATCAGGAGCGTCGTCGTTCCGATTTAAGAACGACAACGTACCCCTTATTGTGTCAGCATAGACGGGGGTACGTCTGAAAGTGGACCTCTCTCGTCGCAAACGGTTGCGTCTGTTACGGCAGTAGATACAAAGCAGCACAGAAATAACCCCAATAAGCAGGCCCACCAGCAGGGACACCAGCAGCAGCACTACAACCGGCACTCCACCAACCTCACCAAGTACTAGCAGAAAAGATAATGCTCTTGAAACATCCATTTCTGCGGAAAGAAAAAATATCTGCAGTCCAAAGGATTGTTGACAATTTTTTTTTTAAGTTTTCCTGTTAATCTATTGCTTTCTCTAACTGATAAAGTGGGTCACAACAGCCTAGGGCACAATAAATTAACCTCGCAGCGGCTCTTCCAATTTTTCAGGAATATTGATACATTCAATGGATTTTTTTTAACAGTAACTGATTATTAATCAAAATGTTCTAAAATTAAACAATATTTTTCCAGTGTCAGTTTATCTTCCCATCTCAGGGTATATACAGCAAGTGTGTTTATTTCTGAATATAACCTTATTTTTGGAATTAGAGTATTTCTTAGGGAAAGTGTATAGATAAATGGCCTTGATGATCCTTGAGCTATCAAACTAACTCTCCAGCGGTTTAAGTTCTTAAACGACCTTTAAAATGCAAATTCTTGAAAAAGTAAATAACATTAATTACTGCACTATATTAAGCTGCTATACAATGAAGAGTTATTAAAGCGTCATGTATAGATGATGGCGCTGTGCACTGAACCCTCATTTCAAATAAGAAAAATGTATATTTGTCATGCATAATTACGTTTGCGTGCGTAAGAACGTTTACTTGTATGTATACTGAATGAATGTATATACTCAGAGATGGCTGTTTATCCAGAATGTCATCTTACTAGCCATTCTGGAAAAATAAACTGACTTGGCCTAATAACTCATACCCAAATATAGCTACATTGTAATGCCTCGTGAAAGAATTCATTGTGCAAATCCATTATTATTGTTCCTAATTAAATAACTTTGTAAATAATTCATTACTACTAAGCTGGGCTCATTGCATGTCTTAGTAATCTTTGGCTACAACCCGGCTAACATTTAATGGGTATGGGGTGACTACCTCCCACTGGATGGGGTGCCCACTTCCCATAGGATGGATATGGGGTGACTACCTCCCACAGGATGGGTATGTGATGACTACCTTCCACGGGATGGGAATGGGGTGCCCACTTTCCATACGATGGATATGGGGTGACTACCTCCGACAGGATGGGTATGTGGTGACTACCTCCCACAGGATGGGAATGAGGTGCCCACCTCCCATAGGATGGGTATGTGGTGACTACCTCCCACAGGATGGGTATGTGGTGATCACCTCCCATAGGATGGGTGTGGTGACTACCTCCCACAGGATGGGTATGTGGTGACCACCTCCCACAGGATGAGAATGAGGTGCCCACCTCCCATAGGATGGATATAGGGTGGCTACCTCCCACTGGATGGGTGCTGGGTGCATTCTGAAGCCAGGAAACTAAAACTAAATTAGTGTACGTGTATTACCAACACTGAAGAAAAACTTACCTCCGTCAGTGGTGGTGCTGTTGACTTCGACACTTGTGGTAGACCATGACGAGAGCATGACGACTTTTCTCTCATGAAAGAGGCTATGAGAGGGGAGCGAGGTGAATGTTTCATTTTCAGTTATTGGTGCGAATGGCGTAGATTCCATCATCTTGGAAAGGTGTGGTGAGGGTTTGATGGTCTCTCTAGGGCAAAGCTTAATTTCGGCGTTTCCCTGTTGCAAATAAGCAAGTAATATTATATTCACGTCTATGCTACATATATTTAGTTTTCATATTCTAAAATTAATATTTTTACTGATTATTAAAAGCTTTAAATAATTCGTGATGTTCAGAATCGATGCAAAATCTAAAATTAATGACATTAGTCAATATAATCGTATTAGGATCTCTACTGACGCTATACAATTATTTTGTAAATTACTGAGCCTGCATAATTATTCTGTAAGAACAACAAATCCCGTTCGTTCTGAGCTAACATCAGTGTGACCATATGATATGAAGTTTTACAATAAGCCTAGAAATGTTGTGCTGTGAACTATGATATATGTCAAAAAACTTCATTACATAAAGTCTGACAATAGGATTAAAAAGTTGAATATACCTGGAGGGGCTTTCGGGGCTACTGTAAACCGGTTGCTATCTGATGAGTTGTTTGTGCAGTCATGGATTCACCCATAAAAGCATTACAGTGTAATATGTGGTGCTGAGTAAAGACAACTAGAAAATCAAGTGTAAACAAAAAAACTCTTACCGTGATACACAAGGTGATGTTGCTGTAGTGAAACCTGGACTGCCAGGCCTCTAACATGGTAGGCTTGTATGTCACTTGCTCGCCGTCTAGCTCAACTCTTAGGCTGTGCTGTGGGGGAAGGGAGGCTTTTAGTACATACCCATGGATACAGGCACATTTTATTAATCTTTGTGGCAGCTGGTGGATACGGCCTCTGGTCTTCAAAATCCCCTCCCTCATCAGTTACATCAACAAGACTAGAAGTTCTAATATATTTCTCTCAAGTCAATCCTCATGCCCAATAAAGACAGATGGGTAGATCAGTGCCAACAAATTGTGGGAGGGGGCTCTTATGTTACTACTGTCTCCCTCAATACCTGCTTGCCTCCCCAACACCCACCAAATTGGGGCACAGATCCAATTCCCTAGATCAAAAACCCCTCACCAGCGTCAAAGAACCTCCCTCGAAGGGACTTCCTCCTGAATAAAATAAATATCACTGAAACAGGACACTCACTTCTTCCAGTAAGAAAAGACAATGTTACGTTTACCAATTAAGTACGACATTATTATGTTATTTGTGGAAAACAGGTAAACCCATCGGGGTTATACACTGCCTGGGGAATTGGGGGAAATATTAACTGCAAGCTGATGGATACTGTGGAAAATAATTTCCCAAAATTTATGCTGTGTAAATAAACCTGATTAATACGTTACTATTGTTCTGTTGAGTGCATTTTAAATAAGAGAATCGACAGGGAAGCTCTGCGCCTGCGCTGACGAGAGGGGAGAGTCGCCATTGTTTTTTTGAATGTGTTACAGGCACGCTAATGTAATGTGCTTAATTTTAGTCGCTCTAGGGGTTATATTGGGCTTAAAACCTCTCAAATAGGAGCCGAAATTGTTGTATGTGCAGTCCTGCATAATTTGAGTATTATGCAGATGGACAGGACAGCTCCAGGAACTTCAGATATGTCTATTTATGTTGAAATTTTGGCCAGTTTTCTCTATATATTTAGACAGGAGTTTGAGTATGATACACAGTAATCTCCAGACAAATAGGTGAGTGTTATGATTATAAATTCTCCTTCTGTTATATAAATGTGTATATGTAATCATTTATTAATTTTAATATAGTCCACAAATTTATATTAAATTTTACCAGAATTCCTGGTGATGTACATTTCATTTGCAATTAATATAGGTCTAGAGCAACTTGTGGAGGGATAAATTATGGTAGGTATCGAAGGGGGACTTTTTTGCGACCTAGGTGTCCTAAAAAATCCTACTTGTCTCTGTAACTTTAATAAATAATAATTATCTTTGTTACCATTTACTGGTATGTATCTAATGAGATTCATCCAGGTAAATGTAATTTTCCACAGATACACTCACTCCACTTCCTCTCTGGAATTTCCTCTATTGTAAATAATTCAAATATAGCAAACCTAGTCCACTAATTACAAGGGCTTGAGCTTGCTGAAATACTTAAATTCTGATATATTATTATATTCAGCACAGTATTTATATCCGCCATCAAGTGTTGCTGAATCATTAACGTTTTATATCGCGTGCGTCAAAATTTCTATACCAGAATTCGCCCCCCCCCCTCAGGCGCTGTATAATCCTCCGGGTTTAGCGCTTCCCCCTTGATTATAATAATAATAATATTCCAGAATCAGTGCTTCTGTGGAAACTTACGCAGCGCTGTATAGCCCTTGTGGTTTAGCGCTTCTTTTTGATTATAGTAATAATAATGTGGAAACTTATTTCACGAAACTTTTCATAGTATATAAGCTTTAAAAGCCCTTCACATTTATATAATACTTATACATAATATTTATCTTTCTAGGCAAACACACAAGTTGTAAATAACCGTAGGAATTATTAATACAATTTTAGGACCTAAAATAGTTAGAATTAGATTTAATGTTGGAGAATTAGTTAGCAGGCAGTTCAAAATTCGAATAAGGTCAGTTAAGAATCGCTAACGAGATCAGTTGCATCTCAATCACCAACGAGGGAAGACGCGACACGAATGTAGTCAGAAAACCGGCGTTAAATACACTTGGCTGGGGAACAAGATAACCTTCAGCGGTTTCCCGAAGTATAGGATACTTGTCCCTATCAGGCACACTCGCAGTGAGGCGAAATCTATAATTCCTAGCAACATAGTCGGCCATTATTGGGGAAAAGTAGGTAGCTAGTATGTGGGAGAGTAGAACCAGACACTAGTGAAGTCCATCTACAAATGTGGTGTCCAGAAGGTCAGGAAACATCGAGTTTCTTCCACCAAGCAAGTTAGCTCTACGTTTTGTACACTCACACGTCAGCAGCAGTAATTTGAAATTTGTTGCAAGAGCCATATGTAAGCCTGGGAGAATCAACTCCGGAAGTCTGCGTCAGTAGCAATTGCTAACTTGCAGTCCCCTCAAGGGAGGTTCCTTGACGCTGGTGAGGGGCTCTTGATCTAGGGAATTGGATCTGTGCTCCAGTTCCTTGAATTGAGCCTGAATACCTTCCATCTCCCCCCCCCCACATGCGTTGTATAATCCTAAGGGTTTAGCGCTCCCACATGATTATAATAATTATAATAACTTTTGCAGCTTACAAAGGGGCAGTACGCATAGAAATTTCCAAAGCTTGTGTTATCTTATCATTGGGAGATTGTTTTATAAACCTACGATACTGTACTCGGCTGACTGAATTTCACCAAGGGCTGTATGTGGGAGTACATGGGGTGTACAAAGGCCAACAGGGGGGTGTATGTGAGTATTACACGGGTGTATACAGGAGTACAAGGTGTATAATTGGGTATATGGGAGTACATGGTAATGGCAGATTCCATAAGACTAACTACAGTTTACCTCCATTTCTGTCAATGTAGTTGAGGTTAGAATATTACAGAAGAAAGCTGCGTATCTTATTGTCACCAACAAAATGTTGCACTGCTGTGTACCAAACGATCACCAACTTAGTATTGCACTCTTGTGTACTCCTAAAGATCACCAACTTAGTATTGCACTGCTGTGTACCTAACGATCACCAACTTAGTATTGCACTGCTGTGTACCTGTGCCTAAGGATCACCAACACAGTGTTTCAATTGTGTACCTTACGATCACCAACATAGTGTTGCACTGTGAGGTTGTGTAGTTGGCCCACTGACAAAAGTTTCTTCTTGATGGTAGCAGAGCCTGCTAGGATCTCCTGGTTGCTTCTAGATGGCTTCAGCATCAGCTTCAACACCAGTTTAGTGCCCTCTTCTAAAGGCAACACGCAAAATCGTACATTTTGTCGCTCTGAAAATAACCCACTGTCGCAAATTTTGCCTGTGGAAAAAAATTAATTTTGCTAATTAATATTCTTTAGAATCTATACGTTAATTTGAACCTTAATGACATAAAAAGCAGTGTATAAATTTGAGTACTGTTCCTCTTATAAATTCCCTACATGTCAAATTGGAGAAGAGGTCACACAACAGTAAGAACAAGATGAGTAATAACAATACTTCACCTATTCATTTAATCATCGGTTAGTTTAATATCTTTATTATGCACCCCATACCCATCCTGTGGGCGGTAGTCAAAAAATTAGAGGTACATAATGGGTCTAGGGACTAGACCCCAAAGCTTTGATAGCTGAACAAGTTACAAAGGTAATGAACTCCAGGTAGATCTGGTCACAATCATGACAAGCTACAAAGGTAATGAATCATCTACACTTCTATACATGGTTACAATCATGAACAAATACAAAGTTAATGAATCATATACACTTCTATACATGGTTACAATCATGAACAAATACAAAGTAATGAGTCCTTCTCACAAAATAAAGTAACATTTAATATATTTAAAAACATTTCAACAACATATTTTCTAAGACATCACTAGGACCCTCTGGAGCACTTTACTCCAGGACAACACTAGCACCCTCAGCACTGTCCTCCAGGACAGCACTATCAATATGCTTTATATATTTATCTTTCAATTTATATAGTTTGTATTAGACAATAGATTTACCTTCAATATTATTTGAGTTTCTAGATTCTAGGGGGATGGCGAAGTTGGTGAAGGGCTGTTCATCTTAGAAATTAAATATGTCCTACCTTTTCTTCGAATTAAATCGGATTACATAAGAAAGAAGGAACACTGACCCATGCGGAGCAGGTCCATGTCCCCCCCCCCCCGGATTAGCCCAATGACCCACCCAGTCTGGTCACCTCCACTCAAGGAAAGAGCACGGCACCAGACCCAGCAGCACAAGCTAGTCAGGTCCAACTCACACCCACTCATGTATTTATCTAACCTATTTTTAAAACTACACAACGTTTTAGCCTGAATAACTGTATTCGGGAGTTCCACTCATCCACAACTCTATTACCAAACCAGTGCTTTCCTATATCCTTCCTGAATCTGAATTTTTCCAGGTTGAAACCATTGCTGCGAATCCTGTCTTGGCTGGAAATTTTCAACACGCTATTTACGTCCCCTTTATTCCTGTTTTCCATTAACCTCTACTACGCCCATTCCCCAGACTCTAAGACTTACAGGTTTAGCACTTTCCCCTTAATATAATTTGAGCCATAAAACCTAAGAAAAAATATGTATTTGCCCCACGTGAAGTCTGTGATGAATCATAATATATAATTATAATCATGGGGGAGCGCTGAACCCGTAGGATTAAACAGCGCATGTGGGGGTGGGGAGATGGAAGGTATTCAGACTCAATTCAAGGAACCGGAGCACAGATCCAATTCCCCAGATCAAGACCCCCTCACCAGCGTCAAGGAACGTCCCTTGAGGGGTAAATCATGATAAAACAATTGTCTCAACAGTAATCCTGGTGGACTGTTGTTTACAAGACCTTAATTTATCCTTCTAACTAATGCTATCTTAGGTGAAGTTCCAGCCACAGCATTCTTAGACCAAAAAATTTTTTTTGTATGGAATTATATACAGTTGACCAGCCACATATGATGTGGTCACATTCACTTCTTTTTCGTAATGTACATTAGTACATACAATATTTATATATATATATAAAATATATATTATATTATTATATAATATATATATATATATATATATATATATATATATATATATATATTATATATATATATATATATATAATATATATATATATATATATATATATATATATATATATATATATATATATATATATATATATATCTATATATATATATCTATATATCTATATATATATATATATATATATCTATATCTATATATATATCTATATATATCTATATATATATC